AAAAACTATTCCTTACTTTGTAAGTCCTAGAAATAAGTTGTAGTTATTTTAAATGCTGTGAGTTTCTGTCTCTCATCTGGGCTTACATAAGTCCACATGCCTGAAACATATTACACTTGCTAAACATCTGTGCTATTCACAGGGCTGCCTTCTATGCTAATCGAGCAGAGAGGACTTCTCAGCTGCTTCAACAACCTGATGTCATTAGTACTAGCATTGAAGAAGTTTCCTCAAATACAAAGCCTCTGATCCGACAAATACAGAAACTTCCTAAAAGAATAAGAAAATTACTTGCGATGCTTCCCCAGCAAGAGGTATGCAATCTTATAACAATTATTAGTTCAGCTTTGATCTCTTGATCTTGAGCCCAATGTAGAAATAGCTTGTCAACTCATCTTGACATTGGATTTTTCTCAGATGAATGAGGAGGAAGCTTCCCTCTTTGATGTTTTGTGGTTACTGCTTGCAAGTGTTATATTTGTGCCTATATTTCAGAAAATTCCAGGAGGTAACTAAATTCTTGTATTATTTAATTCAATTTTATGTGCATTTTGCTTTTAGAGTTTGTGGGTTCTAATATCGCCTAATCATTTGTTTGATTATGTGAAATTTTGCTGAGCCTGTTTTTGGTCTTTCATTTTACTCCTTCCTGTCATTTATCATGCTCTCTCCAGCATATGTTGGAGGAATAACACGAAATTTTATTTCGTTTCTTTCCTGCTCTTGATCACCAGCTGCACATATGTCAGTGGATATCCATTTTCTTTTTTTTCTTTTTTAGATTTTATAGTTAAATTTATGTGTTACTGAAGCCCATTTCCCATCTGCAATTTTTAGGCAGCCCTGTTCTTGGATACTTGGCTGCTGGCATCCTGATTGGGCCTTATGGCCTTTCTATAATCCGTCATGTGCATGGTACAAAGGCAATGGCTGAATTTGGAGTTGTTTTCTTGCTATTTAACATTGGCCTTGAGGTGGAGTCTGTTATTCAGATAATTTTACATTTTATATGAATATCATGAGAAGAATTTCAAACTGAAGCTTCTTTATGCATTTTATAGCTCTCTGTTGAAAGGCTGAGTTCCATGAAGAAATATGTTTTTGGATTAGGTTCTGCCCAGGTGATTAAGAAACTTAATTTCTATAATTGTTACCTTCTTTTATGGTTCTTCCAGCATATTATCAAATATGCTTGATACAGGTCTTGGTGACAGCAGCTGTGGTTGGCTTAGTTGCTCACTTTGTTGCTGGGCTGCCTGGTCCTGCTGCAATAGTAATTGGGAATGGACTGGCATTATCTTCGACTGCTGTGGTACTGCAGGTAATTATTAAGTAGGTTTGTCTTTGGATTCTGTAAAATTGCCACATTTTAATGCAGTAATTCCTTCACTTTATGAAGACAGAGCAACAAACTAAGCGTAATTATTCTGAAAGTGAGACAAGCTTCCCTCAAACAATTGTGATTTTTCCCTTTTAAAGCCTAAGATCTTTTACCTCAATCAGCCAATGAAAGAAGGATTATATACCACAATAGCCTGATGTTATTATGGTGTTCTCATATTTTCCTCCTGAATATCTTAGATCTTTTGGAAATTAAAAGATAAATTTAGATCGTTGCTATTAGGGCTTGATCTATCATAGTTTAGTCAGGCTTACTGTATTGTGTTCCTGCATTAATATGTGGACCTACCAACCAAGATTATAGACACTTACTAGTTTGCATCCATTAGATGGAGGGGTAATTTGAATTTTCCTGGGCTTTTTTGCAGGTCTTACAGGAGCGAGGTGAAAGCACTTCGCGTCATGGACGTGCTACATTTTCTGTTTTACTTTTTCAGGTTATTCTAGAACTTTAAGGATAAGGAAAAGAATTGGTTCCTCTCATGAAATAAATGTATAAGCTTGGGGATAATGGATGGCCCAAGATAAAAAGCTTAGGGATAATGGTTCCTCCTGTTGTTCCTTATGCTGTTAAATATCTGGCTGAACATCTTGATAATTGATCTATGTATTCTAGCTTGCTTTTGTTCTTTAAGTTAATTATGATGCCTGCGGTTGTAAACCTTTTGCTTTAATTGTTTCCCATCCTTTGCAGGACTTGGCTGTTGTCGTATTGCTTATACTCATACCTCTTGTCTCACCAAATTCCTCCAAAGGAGGGGTAATGTTTTCTAACTGTTTAACTTTCTTTCTGGAAGAAACATGTATTTCTTTTACTGACCAGGTTATATAGTAACTTCAGTTAAAAGTCAATCCAGATGTAACATTTCTCTCTGCCATGGGGACAGATCCAGTTATTAACATATCATTTGATGAAATAAATTTAATATTTAATGCTTGTGTATTTCTCTCTCTCTCTCTGGATTTAAATTCAGTCTGCTCTCATCAAGTAACACTGAAATTTCTTACCCAGTCAATCTACACTTAACGTTGATGGTTCTATTCTGAAAAAACTTTCTATTTGGTTGCAAGTATGAAGTGTCTGCCCCTTGGCTGTTTCTGTCATATTATATACATCCTGTTGTTGATGATGATGATTTTACCTCTCATGTTAGCATCTTGGTTATTGTGTTTTGTTTATCAGATTGGTTTTCGAGCCATTGCTGAAGCTCTAGGACTTGCAGCTGTTAAAGCAACCATTGCCATTGCAGCAATTATAGCTGGTGGACGCTTGGTAAGTTTCATGACTTGGGCATTCATAAAAATTGATATCAAGTGTAAAAGTAAATTGTATTTCTAGTACAATTTATATCTTAATTTTTTAATCAGTCCAACATTATAATTTCCTTATAATCATGAGCCTATGGCTACCCACAGAAAAGAAACTTCGGCACAATTTCACCTGCATTTTTGTCAAAACTCAAAATGCCAGTTATCATTCCCTCAATTTTGAAAACATGTCCAGGACTTTAGAAATGTAATTTATACTTCTTATAGACCTTCTTGTGATTTTGCAGTTGCTTCGACCAATATATAAGCAAATTGCAGAAAATCAAAATGCAGAGATATTCTCTGCCAATACACTTCTTGTTATTCTTGGGACCAGTCTCCTTACGGCTAGGGTATGATAATGCCCTTCATGATTGTTCTTGAAGTTTTTTATTGATGATAATTAATATCTATGTCATTTTTCTGAATAGGCTGGGCTTTCCATGGCATTGGGAGCATTTCTAGCTGGTTTGCTCCTTGCAGAAACCGAGTTCTCTTTACAGGTTGAATCAGATATCGCTCCTTATCGTGGGCTTCTTCTGGGTCTCTTCTTCATGACGGTAAGTATTTAATGGTGGCATTTCTGCCATGTATTTGTGCTTTGGTGCTTAAAGCTACTGGTAATTTACTTTTGAAGATTGTAAGTTTATGCTTGATAGACCAAATTTGGATGCTAGAATAATTGTAGTCTGTCTTCCAATCTTTCTGAAGGTAGGACAGGCTAGTATATGCACACAGAATTAGTTTTTCCCTCTTTTTTTGGCAAAGGGGATAATTTCTCTATTGAGAAGAAGTGTAAAAGTTACTGTTTAGCAAGTGGATAAAAGGGTGGGGCAAGGACTACACCAAAAGGTGTATTTTACCCTATTATTAGGTTTTTAAGGTACTTTTATTGGCAGAAAATGGTGAAAAGATAAGACAAAAAAAAAAAAAAAAAATCATTTCCTAAACAATTTCTATCATGCCTTGTTCTTCTTAGCCTATTCTGTGCCATTTTACAGGCTTGGTATGAATGTTAAATTCTTGCCATTTTTATGTTCACTGACCATATAATTCCAAGGTAGCTGTGTATGGTTGAAACTTTCAGTCTTTCATTTTTTAATTAACCACAACAACAACACATATGTTGGTCATGCTATTTACCATGTGTGCAATACCTGTGTAATTAATTTGTATTTTGATCTCAGACTCTTGATTGCCATGCCAATGAAAAGGGAAATGATATTTGCAACTGAAGGAAGTTTTCTTCTTGGTTTCAGGTTGGAATGTCTATTGATCCAAAACTTCTTGTTTCAAATTTTCCTGTCATCATGGGGACATTAGGGCTCTTAATTGGTGGCAAGGCTGCATTGGTGGCCTTAGTTGGTAGACTTTTTGGTATTTCAGTCATATCTGCAATTAGGGTTGGTCTCCTTCTAGCTCCTGGTGGAGAGTTTGCTTTTGTGGCTTTTGGTGAAGCTGTTAATCAGGTTTGGCTTTGTATCAGCTACATCTACATCTTTTTTGGTTCCGTCATTGGAGTCGCTTATTTGCATTTAATGGGTTATACTGCAATTTCATTTACTAATTTGCAGTTGATTTCCTAGGTGTTAGATTCTGCATGGTACTTAGTACTTTCACAGGCTGATTAAAAAACCTTAATTCTTGTTTAAATTTTTAGGCTCCTGCTTCTGCATGTTGAAAGGTGGTCTTAAAAAGGGATTTTGATCACACATTTGTTACTATGTTAAATGGTAGCTATATCGAAATTATTGTTATTTTCGTGATTATTTCTGGTTCAAATGTTAATAATAACACAGTTAATTTGTTGTGCAAGCATTAATCTGTGCTGTTGGCAGGGTATCATGTCTTCTCAGCTATCCTCTCTGCTCTTTCTTGTTGTTGGGATCTCAATGGCCCTAACACCATGGCTAGCTGCTGGAGGCCAGCTAATTGCCTCTCATTTTGATCTGCATGATGTTAGAAGTTTATTACCAGTTGAGAGTGAGGTAAGATGTCCTGTGTAATAAGTCTGTTGTGATTTCAGTTGTTAAAATCTTTTAGCAGTATATGATATCTAAAGCTGGCCTTACTACTAGTTCGCTGGAAACCATTTTTAGTTGTTGGTGAGGCCACTATGATGTGTTTTTAGAGATAAATAGGTACTTGAAGAGATAAATAGGTGCTTGAAAAGATAAATAACAGAAGTATCTATTCATAACTTGACTTAACGTGAATTAACTTGTAACTTCACTGAAACTGAAAAAGTATTAAATTAATGGTAAAATCAATCACTATTGATCTAACCCAGGTAAGATACACTGGATGGTTACCTTTTAAATTTATTAAATTATATCAATTGCTCACCTCAAAATGTTTTGATATTCAACAAGATATATTCATTAATCCTGTTTGATTTAGGCACCTAATTTAGTTATTCATAGGTTGGAACTTGGAACGTTTCTATATACGAAGTATTTAAGGATTCCATTTCCAGTTCTATACTCTATATTTTGGTAATTATGTGTATTTTAATAAATATTTAGGCAATACTGAGTATCCATATATAAGCATGCATTTATCGATATCTTGAGTTATCTGATTCATGATGTAGCTAACATTTTAGTGATAATTGCAACTAATGCATCTGTTTTGTTGATTTTATTTCCAGACTGATGATTTGCAAGATCATATTATCATATGTGGATTTGGACGTGTTGGTCAGGTGTCAATATTAATAACAGCTTTGAATTTGGAAAATTAATCTTACAACATTTTGTGATGATATTATTATTAATTGGTCTTTTGATTCCTGCATGTTTATAACAGTAGCATTTTCTCTTTTTGGATGTTTTCAGATCATAGCTCAGCTTCTTTCAGAAAGCTTAATTCCATTTGTTGCCCTTGATATAAGGAGGTAACCTAAATTATTTGTTCATAACTATGATTTTAAAGAGATGAGTGGTTAAAAACCATACCTTGTGTAGCAGATCTTTCAAGCTTCCAAAATAATCACAAGAAGATATTAACATTTTAATTTTTTTTTTCAGTGATAGAGTGGCTTTTGGCCGTGCACTGGATCTTCCTGTTTATTTTGGAGATGCTGGCAGTAAGGAGGTAAAGAAAACAAGTTTGAAGTAAGCTTGCATGTAGATCAATAGCTGACATTGTTTATTCTGGGTGACTAGGTCCTCCATAAAGTTGGTGCAGAAAGAGCATGTGCTGCAGCAATAACCTTGGATACGCCTGGTGCTAATTATAGAACCGTTTGGGCTCTGAGCAAGTATTTCCCAAATGTGAAGACTTTTGTTCGTGCTCATGATGTTGACCACGGCCTTAATTTGGAAAAGGCTGGGGCAACAGCTGTAATATTCTAATCCCTATTTTAGAGTTCCTTTTCTCCATATCATCATCCAGTTTCTTAACTCCCTCTGAGTATTTGAACTTATCTAGTCATCCTCTTCCTTGTTGAGCTCAGGTTGTGCCTGAGACCTTGGAACCAAGTCTGCAGTTAGCAGCTGCTGTTCTTGCACAGGTATATTGGATGATTGTCACTGCACTGGTTCAAAATTGGTCCTTATTGCTATAAAATGATATATTGTGCAGCTCGTGTTGGAAGCAGATATAATCAGAATTTAAGAGAATTTTGTTCTTCCTATTATATATTTTGAACATGTGTTTCATCTCTTGGTTTGTTTCCTGATTTCTGCTTTCCTCTCTAGGCAAAATTACCGACATCTGAGATTGCAGCAACAATCAATGAATTCAGATCTCGCCACCTCTCAGAGCTCACTGAGGTACTCACCACCTCTTTTCTTCTTTTTTTTTTTTTTTTTTTGGCCTCGCCCCCCACCCCCACCCCACGACCATAAAAGTAAAATCTCAGTTGTGAAGTCTTACCACCACCGGTGTATCTCTTGCAGCTATGCGAAGCTAGGGGAAGTTCTCTTGGTTATGGATTTTCTCGTATGATGAGTAAATCCAAAACCCAACTATCAGATTCATCAGACGGAAATGAAGTTACTGAGGGCACTCTCGCAATATGATAGATAACATGGTTTTAACAGGTTACTGGGTGAGAATTTTTCAAAGAAAATAAGAAGTGACTAATGGAGAACCATATGGTAGATCACAAACGTCTATTGGTATAATTTGTACACAAAAAGGACCAAAAGGTGAGAGGAGATGGACAGACTTTCCATTAATTCCATTTTTCTCCATTATTAATTACTTTAGCAATTCTGATAAAGACATTTCTCCATGTATCCTCTGCAAGGACATCATTTTTATTGTGTTGTAACTTGCAGCAGGCAGGAAAAAAAAATTGGAAGGCGGTTGTTCCATTTGTATTTTTAATCAATATGGGCATCAATGAAATTTTGGACTTTTAGGCCTTGATTTTGCAATGAGTACTATTAGTCCAAAAAGGAAAAGACCTAAAGACACGAAATTACGCAGCAACAAGGCTCTACTCGAGCCCGACTGAAAAACTTGTTGGGCCCAAGTATTTAAGCTAAAGCCCATCTGAATAGATACAATTACAAAACTCGTTAAACCAGGCCCATCCCATTGGATGGGCTTCCAATTTGGATGGGCTTCCAATTTGGATGGGTAACCAAGCCCATGAACTTTTTTTTTTATCTAAGCCGGCTCCACCCTGCGTTTGACGGCGGCACCGCTCAGCTCCTCGGAATTCTGAGTAAAGCCGTAGTTGCAGTTGCGGACACGAAGTTCGGGTTTCTGCGGCGGAGTTTGTGGGGATATACTACTGCAATGGCGTCTATGATCTTCACGAACTGTTCATCCTCCACGACAGCACGCTTCCTCCCCTATACCCCTGATAGAAGAGGCAACCTTGGCCGGTTTCTTGCGCCTCCCCATGTGGGAATCCTCAGACATAGCTCTCTCCGGACTCTGACCTTCCGCTTTTCACCTACTCCGTCACCGGTCATCACTGGTACGGTGAAGAAATTTACAGCTGATTTGATCTTGCACTTTTGAAATTGTTGAGCCCGTTTGGATGTTTCTTGAATATGCAATGATATTCTATCCTTTTGCTATATTGTTCAGCTGCAATGGCTACTGAGGCCTCTGCTAAGTTGATCGATGGGAAATCAGTGGCGAAGTAAATTAGAGAAGAAATAGCTGCTGAGGTATTGAGAATGAAGGATGCGATTGGTGTTGTTCCTGGGTTAGCCGTCATTCTTGTTGGGGATAAGAAAGACTCTGCAACTTATGTTCGCAACAAGAAGAAAGCTTGTGAATCCGCGGGGATTAATTCTTTTGAAGTGCGTTTACCTGAAGAATCAACTGAGCAAGAAGTGCTCAATGCCATCTCTGCCTTCAACGATGATGCTTCTGTCCACGGGATCCTTGTGCAATTGCCTCTTCCTTCTGTATGCTGCTACTCTCTTCAACTTTATATAATCATTAGATATTAGAGAAAGTAACATGCTTTATATAATGGATGGTGAAATCGTAAAGGATGTTGGGAAGCATCCTTAATCATTGGCTGAGGTTGAACATTGTTAAACGTAATGGGTTTCATGAATTTCAATGTTTTGCAAGTTCTTGTGGTGATACGAACCTCTACAAGAAAAAGAAATGAAAAATCGGTTTCTTCTGGTGATTACAAGAAAAGAAAGAAACAACTACTGTAATTCATGTTTGCAAGTGAATAGGTCCATATTAGGAGAATTGCATTTCCTTTTATGGATAAGTTGATGTAATGACACCAATTTTACAGTTGTCCAGTGGAGTCATGCCAAAAACATTGATACATAAGATACAGCCCATCAGTTTGAGATGGGACTTTCAAATGTTCCTTTTAGAGCCTTTAACTCCCTTTAACTATTAGATGTGTTCTAATAAGTTTTATATTGATCCATTAGGATACTGCCTACTGAGAATAAACAGCAGAAAGGGGAGGGCTAAGTTTTAGATTCATGGCTCCTTCCCCTGAGTTCTGAATGCTCTTTACAATTAGTCAAAGCTTCCCTCTATTGTTCATTCACTCATTTTTCTTTCTTATAATTTATTCAAAATCCTTTGAGGTGACCTTTTTTCCTGGAGTCAAACTTTTCTTGCATCTTTGGCTTTGTTCAGGCACATAGCACTAATTCTGTTCCCTTGGTATTTTTATCAGCATATGAATGAGCAGAATATCTTGAATGCCGTTACCATTGAGAAAGATGTTGATGGCTTCCACCCACTTAATAGTGGTCGTCTTGCCATGCGAGGCAGAGAACCCTTGTTTGTCCCATGTACTCCTAAAGGGTGCATAGAATTGTTGCATAGATATGGTGTAGAGATAAAAGGGAAGAGAGCTGTTGTGATTGGCCGGAGCAATATTGTTGGGATGCCTGCTGCTCTGTTGCTGCAAGTAAGGTCTTTTCTCCGTGCATTATTTATTATTCTGCAAAAACTACTTTATTTTTTTAATTTTCTATTTAAACTTGGGGGCTATGGGGAAGGAGGGGTTTCTAGAAGCTACTTTATTTTAATTTTCAACTTCTAATGTCTTGAGGCGGGCAGAGGGAAGATGCTACTGTAAGTGTTGTCCATTCTAGAACTAAGAATCCTGAGGAAATCACAAGACAAGCAGATATCATAATCTCTGCTGTAGGACAACCAAACATGGTGAAGGGAAGCTGGATAAAACCTGGAGCAGTTATCATTGATGTTGGAATAAATCCAGTTGAGGTAGTCATCTTATGCCATGTCAAACAAGATTGGTGACCATTCCCAATTGTGTTTAAATTGGCTGATGAGTTTTATGTCTATGCATGTGTGACAGGATGAAACAAGTCCTTGAGGATATCGGTTAGTTGGAGATGTTTATTATGATGAGGCCTGCAAAATTGCTTCAGCAGTCACCCCAGTTCCTGGGGCAGTTGGTCCAATGACAATAGCCATGCTTCTCTCCAATACTCTCAGCTCAGCCAAAAAGGCATACGATTTCCAATGAGAAATTCAGAGTTTACTGATTCAATCATACACAAAACTTAACCTGATTCAATTATACACCAAACTTAAGCACTAAAATTAAGCCTTTAGGAAGAAACCCCTTTATTTTTGTTGACCCTCTCCTTTCTCCTAGAGCTTGATTCTTACTGCCCCGTCTGCTTTAAATAATGACCATTTACAATTTGGAATATATTTTTAGAGTGGGATGTTTATCCTTCAGAACTGGAAGATGGAATGATGGAATTTTATCTGAGTATCCGAACCCTATTCTCAGTCTCTGAGCGCCAGCCCTAAGGTTGTGGAGTGAACAGGATCTAACCCGGAAAACGGTTTTGCAATTGCCGATTAGTGGTTTAGCCAACTTTAGAGAGGTTTGTCAATGACTAAATCCTCGTGAATAAATACTCGTATAGAATCTTAAAAAGAATTCATTGTAGCTTACAATTATTTGTATGAATCAACAATTCTACAAAGCACAAGTGCTTTGATCAACAAAATCCTGCATTTTATTTTTAGTATATCCTGGTCTTCAATCTCAAGCTGGAGGCATAAGGCAGTATACAACTCATTGGACCTCAATAATGCAATGTCCTGCTGCCATTCTATACTCTGAACCTGGAAATTATGAATTTTCTGAAGAAAGATCAATGCGAGCTTCAAAATGATTAATCCCAGTTTTACTTTGCTGTTTTGCACTTCTAAGAATTGACGCCTGAAAGATAACACCAACAAACAAGAATTAGTGCTTCATATTTTTATGGCCACCCAAAAGTATAGAACTAAGTAGGACCTTGTTGAACAGGATACAATGCAGTACTCTAGAGTTAGAAAATTTTGTTTGAGTACACGTTCTTTCTTTATGTTCCATGTTAGATTTGTACCATATTTACCACTAAACCAGTCTTTATACACTGATAGAATTTAATGACTTGTAGTTAATTCCTTAAGCTCTTAGCTGGCTTAAAACTAGTAGTTCGGCTTGGCTACATGAATCATCTTCCTCCCTTCTGTCTGATAAGGACCAGAATCTTGTGAAAATCTAAAAGTGCTAAGAATGAAATATCCTTTCTCCTCTGAGAGAGAGAGAGAGAGAGGAGAATAAATAGATCCTGCTATAATGGTTCAAGAGTAGTCATACCTTGGGCCTCTCCATAGAGTTCCCAAAATATCCTATACCAAAAGACAAGGATGAGTAAGCAGCTGCAATCTCTACTGCTTTTAGCTTAGGACAATTTCCTGGACCCTAAAGCAATAAACAAATAACATGAAAAACTGAATGATAAATGTCTCAAAGAAAAAAACTTATGTGGTATTTGATCTAAAGCCTCACTGTCAAAGGAGCATCAGCTTGCACATGTAAAATCCCAGCACTTTTATCGGTACCATTCTGGTGGCTGTCTTGAAGAACAGGGCGTATAACTTTCATGCATGCAGAGGCAGGACCAGCCTGTGAACTAGACATGACTGTCAGTCTTAGGACAGAAAGCACAATCCAACCAATATAACTATCAAGGTATTGGAATAAATCAAAGAAAAGTTTAAACTTTGGTGTAAGGCAGACGAAAATAACAACTTATATATTTTTGACTTGCACAAGATCACTTTGTCTCAACTTGATTGGAAAAAAACTGTGATTCACTGATGAAGGCATACATTAAGTTACATATGAGATGAAACACTCCCAACTTCTATTTTCAATTTCTCAGCTATCAGCTCCATTGATTGTGATCAAAAGCATGGGTCTTTTGTCAACTCCAAACACAGAGTTAACAGTTCATTGTACCTATGAGTGCAAGTAGTGTAAATCTTCTGTGATTCCACTAGTTTCCAAATACCCAACCCAAACTGTTCCCAGGGCTCTTAAGAAGCAAACTTGATATGAAAAATGTAAGACAAGGTACATCAAAACACTAAAAGGATGACTAATTTTCTGTTAGAAATAGAACACAGAAGAGAACTTACAGCGATGATGAGATACAGCACTCACGAGCTGCAAATCCTTTCATCAAGTATTCTCCAGCACCAGTAACACAACTGCCAACTATAAAGGGAGCCCCAAAGGGTCCTTTTGAAGAAGCCCAACAACCAGAACCATACATTGCTGCTAGTCCCACACGTCCACTTACCTGTAATGATTTTTGTTTGGAGTAAATGCTCTAGTAATTCATATAAGCCACCCAAAAAAGACCACTATAAAATGAAATTTCAACACTTAATTATCACCTTCAATGCAATACCACCACTTGAGGCCCCTGATGATATGTGTCCTTTGGTGTCTACACAAATGACTCCAACAGTGTCCATGATGTTGTCCTCTTCTGATAAATCCAGAGCTGCTGATTGACTAGCCTCATTCCCATTCAAGAGATCACATGTTTGATTTTGTGGTTCTGACATAAGATGCAACTAAGTCAAGGACATATTAGATGATCAAATCCAATTCCAACCCACTTGAATGCATGTCACATACCTCCAAAAGAATATAACAAGGTAAACAAAATAAAATGGACACATCTGACATCACTAGAGATGAGCACAAACTTACCAGCATGCTGCGCTGACCAGTGAAACCCAACAAAAACTACAGTACTAAATTAGTAAGATACATACATTTGAGAAAAAAAATTAGTAAGATACACTATACATAAAGTGTCACAGAGAAGATAGTTATGACATATAGCATTGTGGATACAGGTCACAGAACATAATTTCATGATTCATGAAGCAATCAAATGATGATGTATGGGATTTATGAAGCAACAAAGAGAAAAAAATTAAGATGCTATGGGAAAAATTAAGAGATGGATGAAGGGACTGGTTCAATACTTCAATGAGGTGGGAAAATTGATAATTAGATAGATCTATGGGTTTGATGTGAAACAATCTGATGATGAAAATATCACCTGAGACCGTTGCAATTTCTTGTGCATTACAAGAATTTCCCTCAGAATATGAATTCATTGCAGCCTTGGCATCAACTAGCATTTCTCTGTACCGTTGAAATTGTGCTTTTGCCCTTTCTGTCACTAACCACTATTACATAATACATAGAAGATAAGTTCACAAAACAAAAAATGCACTGGAAAATCATTTTCTTCATCAATGAAATCATTACTAAACAACCTGATCAGCCTCCATTATTGTTGCTGGCACAGCAATGCCTTTGGACCTTGCCCATTTGCGAGCACCTTCACCAACCAAGAACCTTGGGGTGACACATAAAATGCTTGAATAAGTATAGGTGATATGAAAGATGGTCTTTACATTGAAATATGTTTAACCCCTCACCCCACCCCCTTAAGAAAGAAGGAACAAAAAGGAGATCAAGGTTACTATAGAAGACAAAGCTACAATTATCCAGTAGTTGTAAAAATAAGGAAGGAAGAGCAACCAGTACATAGGAGGTATTCGACCCAACAAAGAAGACCCCATTTTCTGCTCTTTCACCAGCAAAGCTGCAATCTTGATGGCATTTCGGACACCTGTTCTACAAAAACTGAAATGGGTACTCAGTAACTTCAGGGAAAGACTATGGTAAACAGGAAAATGCAAGCAACAGAAAATATTAACGTAATGAAATAACACATGAAACAATAGTTTGACACAAGGAATTTAGAGCCTCCTGGTACAAAAAGCAACCATGATATCAATCAAAAGTTCTGCGTTGAAATTACCTGGTACTGCCCCCACAGCTCCAAATGCACCAGAGTCACCGTCCATTAGACTTGCATCACATTCCACGCTGCCATCCTCAGTCAAGTTGGAGCCTCGGCCAGCATTCGTGCAGGGATCATCCTTCAATAAAACAATTTTGATCAACTAATTTAACACGAAATTCCGTTCTTATTTTATGCAGAGAAAAAGAGAAGGGAATACCTCGAGCACTTGAATCGCAGCTTCAACAGCATCCACACATCGACCAGGACCCTGAATTGAAAATGTACAAAATATCAGAGGAAATCAGATGATCTAAAAATTTGAGAAATAGAACAAGAGAAGGACCTGGCGAAGAATAGAAGCAGCAGCGAGACAAGCGCGTTTCATGGCAGCCCTCAAAGCCTTCTCATTTGAAGGCGCGTGATACCCCGCACCGACGTGAACTGCCACGAAGAATCTGGGCGTTTCATCTGTGGCGGCGGTAGCCATGGAATCAATCCGCGTTGATGATTAATCTGTAGAGAATCTCCGTCAGTAGCGGTAAACAGTTAGGGCGTGCTACTCTCAACTCCTGGCAGGTCTTTCGTTTTTTTTAAGAAAAAAAATTAAATTACGGAAATCAGTCGACGGTGTAGATACAAGTGCCAGGCCTGTCGTCGAAGGCTCTCTTTAGCGGGAACCACCTTTGGCGACGGTTTAGATTTCCTCTAACAACACTTCTCAACAATCTTCTTTTAGTTTTTATGTTTTTTACTATTTTAAAAATATATAAAATATCAATTAAAATAAATATTAAATATATAAAATATATTTTATATATTTTAAAGATATTAAAAAATTAAAAAACTTACAATTATAACTACAAACAATGTGCCTTATAATTTCCGCCATTGAAAATATTTTGAGACAATTTCGCTTTACTAGTATAAGTTGCCAGGAGCTCCACCAAAGCGACCAGATGGATCGCGTATCTCATTGAGGATCGCGTATTTCGTTGAAGAAGGTGAGATGTTCATCATGTCTGGGATTGAATCCCCAGTTACTAACAATTAATTAAATTAATCTACTAACTATTGTCCTTATCAAAAAAGTTGCCAGGAGTTGAAATTAAAATCTTTTAATTAATGAAAGACGACACAGTATTAGGTTATGCAATCATACAATTTCTCAATGGACATCAACAACAACAGTTTACAGAACAACAGGCTCGAGCATGAATATCTGCCGAACACTTATTCTCTTATGCGTGAAACTATAGAAGTACAATTTTGTATGTAATTGAATGATGGAAAGTTTCCTCTGAGCTCATCACTTGTTTGATAGAAAGAGAGCTTTACACTGCTCCATTGTATCTTCAGGACTTGTGACTGCAGAAGGAAAAAGCATGGTTGATCATGGTGACTACTCAAAGTGAGGGCATGTTAATCATTTATGATTCTTGTAAATTAGATTGAAGTTGAAACATGTAACTGACCTGTATGTCCCACTGTCCTCTCTGATTCATAGATTTCATGATCATTTCCTCCCTGATCAAACAAAAATAACCAAGCTCCCATTAGTCTCAACATGAATGCCAATGTTAGTCCAAGAATAATAGTGGACCAAGGAGAATGAAGTAATTAGTCTACATACAACATAAAGAATGGTAAAAACTGACAGAAAAAAGAATCAACCTTGTAAGTTTTGTCACCAAAGAAGTGAATTTCTTGAAAATCATCAAGGTATCTTAAGCAGTATGTCTTGTCCCAACCTTGTGGGAAAACCTGTTATAAGCAACATGCAATTATTGATTCAGATTCGTTGAAACCTCCACAACCTGACATGTAACAAATTCAACAATCAGAAAAACATATGCTTCACTCACATCAAAGCTTATTTGTCCTCCTATTGAAAATGTGAGGTTAAGGTGAGCAAACTTCTC